AAGAAGCATCTCCTTTTACACCCTGTCCTGATGAGCTACTAGGAAGCTCAGGCCACTCCAAAGATCTTTTACTTTGGATTTGGTTTTACTGATGAATTGTTTGCGTCGGAATGCATTCCTTTTCATTACCCCAATAACCATCTTTTCCAACCTTAGCGCTTAAAAAAAGCGTTTCGTACTAGTCAGCTACAGAGCCCGCTCTGATCTGAGTCTTCTAGGATTCATGGTGGTGCCACCTGTTTCCTTTAGACGAATCACCACTTCTTCGTTCTGTATTCTAAGCTGGCCTTGTGCTATTATAGTTTAGTGAGCCCTTTGACTGTGTGACTCAGGGCATTCTCCAAATGGCTTTCTGTCCTGGTTGCTCAGAGTTTTTTTGGGAAGACAGCATCCTTTTTTTTCCCCATGACCAGCCGTACAGAACTATGCATTCCATGTATTTCTGAAGGGCCGTTTGCAATTCTATGTGCAGCGTATGTCATAACGGTGGACCACGTGTTCCATTTTGCCCGGGTCAGTCCCAGTATGTGTTCCTTGTTCCCACTTAATTATTAATAACATCTCCTTTCACTCTCATGAAGGTAGGTTTTTAGCAGGGGCTCTAATTTTCTGACTTATAGAAGTTAGCAAAGTATTTGCCTCAGAGATTTTCTGTTTGTTTAGAAAATTGATGACCGTTGTGTCCTACTCTGCTGATCTCCATCAAAGTATTGCCTTTCTTAGTCTAGTTCTTGATGGATCGGGACACGGTTGATTGCCCTGCTCTCTCCAGGAAAGAATTCAGTGACCTCATTGTTTATGGGATTTTGTGACTAAACACATATTAAAATGAAGTCCTTCCCCGATTTCTAGTCTTTCCATAGAAGGGTATTGTCTCTGAATATCTTCTCCTGGCACTCTTTCCACAAAGAAGAGCGTGTGCTCAGGCGGTTGTTGAACATCTTGAGTTGCCAAGAATTGTTGGCCGAAGTCACAAAGCTTTGCTGGGGTTTACTGTAATTTATGCCATTTAATCTCAGCGAGCCTTCACCCTTGCTAGGCATTCCTTTCCTCGCTTGTTGAGTCTGTGCCGCAGGATCCACAGTGGCTGTTCCAAACCCTGTCCGCTTCTCATACTCCGATCCCCTCCTGACCCTGCCATCCTCACCAAATTGCAGCATTGTCTGCTTTCTGGGAAAACCAAAGCCATTCCAGTGGGAACTCTCTTATTATCTCTTATTTGTTGCTTGAAATATTAGGGTTACCTTGAAGCTTTATGTTCTTCTTGTCTCAGAAGAAATATCCCTCCTCCTTGCCAAGGCTTACCCATCTATCTATTCTCTTCATTTCTATGTCAGTGTCTCCCTTTCTATTTTCTATTATTGTAAAAATGTCCTCTCCTGGACCCAGATGTCCCTTTGAATCTTCACCTTCCCTTCATTACTACATTTCTTGAGAGGCCAGGCTATATCTCTTGAACCCACTTCCTCTCTGTCAGAACTGATGGGCTGTATTGCTTTCACACTGAATTCTTGTGAACAGGGTTCTCCCTGGAAGCCATGTTTCAGTCAGCATCCCTTGATCCAGAGGTTGCAAACTGGTAGCTCAGAGATTGGATCTTGCCTGCCAGAGACTTCAGTATATGCTTAACGGAGACTCCAGCAAGAAAAAAACCTGGAAGGAATGAAAGAGAAGCCATTTTGAAAATATGGAGTGCTTAGGGTTGTTCGCAATTAAGGGGAGACACATGGTCTGAGGTTTCAAGTATGGTAGGAACCCCAAGCAGGATACAGAGAAATGGCCACCTGGACTTTACTGTGAAGCCGTAGTACATTGTTTATCGAGGATGAAGTGAAAATCTTAAAAGCTCCTAAGTACAATTATCTTAGCAACCACAGTAAAAAGATGGGCAGGCTGAGTGACCTTATCCCAGCACCTGCATTTCTCAACTCCCTTAGCAGCCCACAGGCTTCACCGCATTTTCCGTTTGTCTCCACCGCTCCCAGGAGGCCATAGCTCTTCCTTAGCACTTTGCGTTTTTCTGTATTACTGCTCTTTTTCTTGACCCTGCCTTCCTAAATGTTAACCTTCCCAAAGTTCTTTATTTTTTCAAGTTTATTTATTTTGAGAGCGAGAAAGAGAGAGAGAGAGAGCAGGGGAGGGGCAGAAAGAGAGGGATAGAGATAATCCCAGGTAGGCTCGGTACTATCAGCAAAGAGCCCAACAACTCGGGGCTTGATCCCACGAACTGCGAGATGGTGACCTGAGCCAAAACCAAGAGCCGGAGGCTTAACCGACTGAGCAACCCAGGCTCCCCATCCAAAGTTCTTTTCTTTCATCATCTTCTCCCCTATCTCCCATGCTCTTGGCTTCAACTATCGTTGTTGGCATTGTTGTTTTTTTGCTCACAAGTACATACCTCCAGTCTCCAACTTTTCTCTTCATGTAAGTCACAAATTTCCAGGAGTATTTTGGACGGCCATATGGATGACACAATAGTGTAATTGTTCTCAAAGTGCGATTTGGGGACGGCTTATGGATCTCTGAAACCCTTCCAGGGATTCTACCAGGCCAAAAATATCTTAAAAATAATGCCACAGTGTTGTTTGACTTTTCACACTCACTGTCTTACGTATATTAGTGGCGTTCTCCAGAGGCTGTGGGATGCATGAAAATGTCACAGCTCTGATGGCTGATGGAACGTGTGCTTGTCTACTCCTCCTGTGTTTTAAAACGTTCGCACTTTTAACTTGTAATATGATAAGTAGATATACCCCACATAAACAGAACTCTTTGAGGTTCTCAGTAATTTCTAAGAGTGTGAAGGAACACAGAGACCAAAGAGTTTGAGAAGCACTGTGGTGGTGCATTCCACTCAGTAACTTTAAAATGGAGCTCTTTGATCCTTCCTCTCACTTTGAACCTTCAGAAGCAACTCTTAATCCTTTTAATGGCACTACCTTGCTTCCAGACTCCAAGGTAGGAAACTTTAAAACATCTCTTGTATTTTCTTCTTACTTATCCCCTACAAATAGAACCTACCAAGGTTTTCAAGAGTACTGCTATAACATCTGGAAAGATAAGATGCCAGCGCATAGAGGGGCCTAAAATCATGACCCAGAAATGAGCAGTGTGGAACCACTGTTGAGTTTAAGCAGAGGAGTAAAGTGATCACATTTGTGATTCACTGTTAAGGGCTCACTGCAGCGTGCTCGACATTGATTTGGTTGCTGATTAGGTGTAGGATGAGAGCATCCAACGTCACTGACGTTTTCGGCCATTGCAAAAATAGTGGTGCATAACGACATCTATTTTGGTGTTGCACTGTGCTCCCTTTTTAAAGAACATACTCTTTATCTGTATTATATTATTGTATCACTTTTTTAAAAAAAGGAAAACCTCAGGGAATAGAACAAGGACATTTGTTCACATACTGCACATTGGACTGAAGGTCAGATTGACTTGGGGACTTTCTCCAGGTCATTGGGTTCAGAAGTACAGAAGCCAGTCTTGTGACTCTGTGGCTTGTGAGCAGGGAGAAAATGCTGAGATCTGACAGGGTACTCGGGAGGTGTTGCTGTCATCCAAGTGTGCGGTCATATTTGCTTCTCAGGTTAGTAGTCAGAACCGTTAAGCCCAGGTATGCGCATGCGTAACTTGTGGTTTTGGTTTGCTGCAGCTGACACTCTCAGGTTAGAGCAATCCCATTGGTATGACCAAACGAAATATAGGGAGGACCCTGATTCTGTGAGCAATCTGCTAGCCTTGCTCCAGTCTCCATAGGAGCATGGGGGGCCGAAGCGGGGAGTGTTTATTTTGTAAATGAAGGGCAAATTCTTGAGTATGTAACAACAACATTCTCAGAGAGTGACAGACCCTCTCTCTCTTTCCTATACGTCATAACAGTGCTTCTCCAATGGTGATCCACGGGAGTTAATACATATTCAGTGAAAAGAAGTGTGCTTCAATTAATGATGTTTGGGAAAAACTGCACTCAGTTCTCCCATTGGAGGCTTATAATGCATGGCGGGGTGTTCAAAGCTCTGAGGGGCCCTATGATAAAACCAATTGTCAAACTCTGTTTAAAGTATTATTTTACAAGCTGATTTGAATTTGGCCATGAAATTATTACTATTTTTTAAATAGAATGTCTAATGCTACCCACTGCACAGAATAAAAGGGTTATTCCCAGAACAGAGTTTGGGACTTAGTCCCAAATTGTTAATACTAATTATTGGATTGATATGTTACTTGTCAAGGTAAAAACTTAAAAATGACCATGACCACGACCAATCATTTAAACATTATTCTCTCCCGTGGTGTCTTCTCACTTCCAAGCCTTGAATTTAAATCTCCTTCAAGTCAACAACTCCCAGATTTCAATCTTTTGCTCTCACGTCATTTTCCACGGTCTTTTGTACTTTTCTCAAGTGAATATCCCAGCAGTAGCTCAGTATGTCCCAGATCGAGTCTTCTCTAACCTACACTAGACTCTTCCCGTCTCCTTCCTTATGTCTGTTAGTATCTGCCACCCCTTAGTCCCCAGGCTCAAATAGGGTGATGTCTTCTACTTTGTTCCCTTTCTTCTAGCATGTCTTCATGTTTGCTTGATCACACGACTTCACAGACTATCTCTGCCTCTCCATTCTCCTTCCCACTGTCACCGCCAACCAACTGGGCTTCTAGGTGGCATTCTTTCCCTTTCTGGTTCATTCAAAAACCAGAGGGAAGTCCCCACAGCTGATTTTTCTTTCTTTCTTTCTTTCTTTCTTTCTTTCTTTCTTTCTTTCTTTCTTTCTTTCTTTCTTTCTTTCTTTCTTTTGTCAGAGAGCATGAGCTGGGGAGGGGCACAGAGAGAAGGGGACAGAGGATCTGTAGCGGGCTCTGTGCTGACAGGCTGACAGCAGCAGGTCCGATGCGGGGCTCAAACTCATGAACCATGAGATCATGACTTGAGCCAAAGTTGGATGCTCAACCAACTGAGCCACCCAGGTGCCCCCTCACAGCTGATTCTAATCATCCCTTGTTCACACATTTTCATCAGATGTCATGGCCCTCATGACAGAGGTCACATTCAGGCTCACATCTAAGCCCTCCCACAGTTTGGTCCCACCTGGCTTTCCTGACATTATTCCCAGTAATGCCCTTCATGGAATCACGGAAGTGCTTCTGCTGATGTTCTTTCTGCACAACTTCCGTGCACCTTTGGACCTACTGTCCAAATCTCCCTGGTTTTCCCCAGTTTCTTCTCAGCAACTCTATCCATCCTTCTATGCCCTTTCAGGGGCTGCCATCCTTATGACATTTTCCTTAGTCCTCTCAGCAGGATATTATGTGTTCCTCCTGGAGCATCATAGCACTTCATGTATAAATGTTTTATAACGCTTACCGAATTCTGTCTTGAGTGCCAGTTACTTGTATATCTAGCATATGCTTGCCTAAAGCTCAGTGCAGTAGGCCTCGGTCATCTTCACTGCATATTTATGTCCCCTTCAGAGCCTAACACAGGGCTTTTATGTAATAAGAATGAAAAAAAATTGTTGAACAAACATAAGGAGTTTTATGTGTTATTTTTACATGTATAAAGTATTCTGCCATAACTAGGAATAATGTGTACAATATTCTTCTGTTTTTTAATTGTAGCTCTTCTACAGTAAAAACAATGATGAAAATTCAAATTAGTAGGCAGTCACAGAACTACTTTTTTTTTTTTTTTTTTTTTTTTTTTTTTTTTTTTTTTTTTTTTTAGAGAAAGAGAAAGAGAGGGCACATGAGTGGGGGAGGGACAGAAGGGAGAAGGAGAGGGAGAATCTTAAGCAGGCTCAATGTTCAGTGTGGAGCCCAGTGTGGGGCTCAAATCCACAACCCTGGGATTATGACCTGAGCCAAAATCAAGAGGTGGATGCTCAACCAGCTGAGCCACCCAGGCACCCCACAAAACTATTTTAAATTGAGTTATAAGTGTGGCTTCATAGTTAATTGAAACATGGGTATGTTTAGTGTTTCCAAATTCACTTCACATCGAATAAGGAAACCTTGACAAGGAGGCCTGAAGAATCTGAGCCTTTTGTTCAGCCTGCCCACTCAGTTGGCTTCATGGTGGAACTAGATTGTTCTTCCCCACACTTGAGCACTCATCACCATGCACGTCCAACAGAACTGGAATGATGGCTAATATTTGTCTTTCAAACGACTTCCTTGTAGGCATGTTAAGGAAAGAGATGCCAGTATAAATAAACAGGTTAGGGCCACTTGAAACACATTTGCCTGAAGATGAATGTCAATATGGATGATAGGAGAGCATTTGCTGTTAGTAGAGTTCCAAGCTGGCCCCTCTCACACCTGCAGCCTCACAGCCCGGTCTCCCCCAATTACCACTTTTAGAATAGTTTCGTGAAATGCCTTCTTACTGGGAATTGGATTTAAAGACCTGCATCAGGAGACACTTACGATGATTATGCTTACCTTTGTTTAGAGTCAGGGTTTAATAAGACCATTATCCTCTCCATTTTAAGGAGGAGTCCCATAGAGCAATGCTTGCCAACTTTTACTGTTTGTGGATTACCTGGGAATCTGTGGAGATTCAGAGTGTAATTCGGCAGGAGATTCTACACTCCTTACTAGCTGCTCTGTAAGGCTGATGCTGCTGTCTGTGGACCACACTAGGCAGAGGCCCACAGGAAGGTCCTGGGAACTTGGTGATGCTGGATTCCATTCCTATCCAGGCTGGTCACTTAGGCAAAGTGGCTTACCTTTCTGGGTCTTAGTTGTCCTAATCTGCAATGTGAGGAGGGTGGAGGGAACGATATCTAACAGCCCTTTCCTGCTGTAATATTTTATGATGACATGAGAGGAAATAGAAAGAATGAGGAGTCAGGCTGAAGGTCTTATTAAGAGTTTGTCTTAAATGTGGTACAAATAACAAACATTGAATTTATGTTAGAATGTGGACCTTCAAAAAATAATTATGTCTCATGATTTAATCAAGAAATTGCATGTAAAATAACCTTGCCCTCCACCCTCATCTTTTGTGTATGTTCTGTTGTTTTGTTTCGTTAGGAGATACTCCATAGCTTGGGCGGGATTGAAAACCTAGCACAGGTAAGATTCCTTTGTGGTGGCTCGTCTTGCCTTTCCATTTCACGCCATGGCTCGGGGCGAGGATTACGTAGGTGTGTGACAGCAGATGGCTTTCCTACCTTAGGCTGCCGGCCAAGGGGAGGAGCAGGCAGGGTGGATAAGTGTGCGTATGGCAGGATACTCACAGAGCAGGAAGGGACCCATGACATTTTGTTCCAGGTGATTTTACCCAGCCTGCCGAAACAAGAAAGTTCTATAAAAGGTCACATGTCTTTAATTAGTAATGAAAAGAAATAGGTGTTGGCTGGCAGGACCAAATCCTCAGCATTGCACATACCAGATGAGGGGAGAAAATATTGGTTATGAAGAGGCTTATCATTTTTCCACAAAAAAAGAATTCTCGTGCTCACTGAAATATTTCCAAATACATGACAATGTGAGGAATGGTTTTAACTTCACTTAGTTTTCTGCTTTTGTAACTACTGAGGGAAGGCGAACAGGTAACTGTATATGTTGAGCCAGTTAAATGTTTGGGTTTATTAGTATGATAAAACAAAATTTTCCAGGCAGGGCATTGGGTTGGAACAGCCCATTCTCCTAAAACCTATGGCATGTACAGAAAGAATGATTTTCATAATAAACCAATGGCCCTGCAAACTCATTCCATATTAATGGAAGATTAAATTTAATGGCAGTTTAATGCTAAACCTATCTTATTTTATTATATTTTCATTCCTGGGAAATTGCTACATCATGTCTAGTTTTTATTTTTAAGATTTGTCTTTTAATTGGCTGGGGGCTTACCTCATTTAATGGCATAGTCTTTCATAAAATCATATTCTAAAGGATCCTCTTATCCACCTTCATTTCCCTTGTAATATTAGAAATCTATGTGTGTTACTCTGAGCCTATTTCTTATATAATCAATGATCTACAGTGAGGGATTATCAGACTACCCCCTACCCATTTTATTCTGATTATTGGTATATGGGGTATGACGGTTGTGTGTGTGTGTGTGTGTATACATATACATATACATATACATATACATATACATATACACATACATATACATGCATATGTATGGTATTTGGAGGCAAATTACACCACGAACTCATTTAGTTACGAGTCATTTGAGGACTTTTGAGAGTTTACATAATCTTTCCATGGTCCCTCCCTGAAATTCAGGGCATGCAAGAGAAGGTGAAGAATCTAGAAACTCAAGCTACCTTTTGCCCTTAAGTGAACCTGGCCCAGGGACCCGAGTGTTATTTCGTGTATCTGTTGTGCCATCTACAGCTCATTTTCAGAAGTACACATCTTGTCCTTCATCTGCTCTCTTGTTGGTTTGGTCCCTCCTGCAGTACATGGAGATCGTGGCCAATGAGTACCTCAGCTATGGGGAAGACCAGCACAGTGTGGACAAGCTGGTCAACATGACATGTAAGTGTTGTCGCAGGGACACAGCAACTTTCCCGATTTGCTAGAATGAGCAGGATGGTCTTTTCAGCAGGAAAAAGGGTACTTGGAATACTTAATGAGTCTACCCATCCACAGTCATGGTATTGAGAGTCTATGTCAGTAGTTCTATTTAGTGGCAAAATATACCCGGAAGGAAAATTTCAGATCACAACTCTTACCTTGAAAAGCCCAGTTTCGGGTGGAAGATTTTCAGTGAGTACAGGCCTACTTTAATGCAACAGAGACTTCCATAATGGCAGATTTGGGTAAAAATATTTTTTGCTTTCTTTGATGTCTATTAAAATGTCATAGGCTATTCAGTTTTCATCTATAAAATTGGGTTAATACTAATAATACCTACCTCATAAAATTTAAAACATTGTGCGCATAAAAAAAGAAAGAAAAAGACCCTGCTGTAATGATGATAACGTGAAATCATTGGCCTGTGGGTGTGGCACTCAATCTTCCCTCTTTGGAAGGCCCCACCTTCCATCCTCTCCAGCTTTGACGATCTGTAGGCCCCCTGTTGTTGTTGGGTGCTGGCCCATTTTCTTTGTGTGAATGGTCTAATTTACAGTGTTTGTTTCCACGGCAGCACATGATTCTCAGTTAAAGGGAGAAGAGAGTATGTCACAAGCCCTCGGCACCAGGAAGTTTCTTTGAGAACGGCTGTTCTCTTCAGCTGGGGAAGCTTGCTGTGGCCATCACCTTCACTGGCCTCCCCCCTCCTCTTTATACTTGAAATCTTTATGGGGGGGAATCTTTGAAGAGTAGGTTTCACTTTGAACTTTTAGAGGACCCTGTTGAGGACCTTAAGGGGAAGGAGATGTTTGTCTTTTTTGTTGTCTCCATATTTATTGTTATAATACTAAGATATAATAATTATTAGTTGAGCTTAAGAGGTAATTCTCAGAATTAAAAAAAAAAAAGAAACCAAAAAACTCTGTTCCTTCTCCCTCCATTGTTTCTTTTGTGTTATCTGTCTTCCCATTTGCCCTTTCTCTGCTTGCCCTTCCGGTAATTCAGACCTGAGTGTCTATGAATACTGCTGCCTTTAAGCACCGAATCCCTCTTTCAGCTATTTCCTTTCTTTATAGATATTTTTCAAAAACTTGCTGCTGTCAAAGACCAAAGAGAATGGGTCACCACAAGTGGAGCCCACAAGGTGAGCCATCCCAGAAGGAGTGAACACTTCAGCTCCATATGTCAGTGGATTGCTGCTGAATTTGAGAGCCCCATGATCAAGTTTCTTATAATTATAGTTCACAAAATCTACCCTAGAATTGTACATCTCTGCCAACCCTTTTATATTCTTTATTAGTCTAAGGAGCATATATGGAAATAACAAACAGGTTTCCTGAAACTCTTTTTTTTCTTTTTCCTATGCCACTTAAGAACAACCAAGTTCATTGTTTTATTTAAATGTTGCTTGAG